CAACTGTTCCAATCAGACGCATATCCCAGGAGTTTCATCAAAGCGTGCCTCAGAGGTAAAAAACAAACAACACATACGAAAGAAGGAACTTGGATAACGCTACCCTACATACGCGGCACGTCAGAAGCCACCGAACGAATATTTCGACCGTTGGGAATCAAGATCGCCCATAAACCAGCAGCAACCGCGCGATCATCCCTTTTCAACGGCAAGGACCGAGTCGAACAGTACGAACGATCAGGAGTAATCTACGCAATCCCGTGCCTGGGCTGCAACCAACACTACATAAGCGAGACAGGCAAACAACTACACATTCGCCTACACGAACACAAGCTTGCCCTCCGACGCGCTGACCCGAGGTCACAAATCTGGAACCACTGCGCACGGACAGGTCACGAGATTGCAATCGATAACGCAAAGGTTGTGGCGCGAGCTAAGAAGAAGGGGGAACGATTAGTCCTCGAAGTTCAGCACTCGGTCAATTCGTTCAACCGACACGTCGAAGTAGACAAACATTACGTCACACTCGCAAAATCCGTGATAATTGGTGGACTGATAGACGTACAAACAGCACACGGAAAGACGGTAATCCCATTATTTCACTCATTTCATTTACGTTTGACAACGAGTCCCAGTTTGGATCGAAACATTACAATAAACATTTTACAACTCAGTGTACGCCTCCATTCTCTCTTGAAATATATATATATATATATATATGGACCAAACTCGTGCAACATCACCCTCAATTTGGAAATCCATTTCAGCTTGCAGTACCATACTTTTATATAGATGGCTATGAGTAAAGCGTATTTATTCCTGACTTTATCTCCAACAACTATGTTCTTAGTTCTTTTCTGTCACCGTTTGAATTTGCACGACCTTGACAGTTGCGATAAAATTTGTGGTAGTTCGAAAGTTCCAGCTCTGATTTGGAAAATATCTTGGGTAAAGCAGCATGGACACTCATTCTTTTTAATAAATGATTCCTGTCCCATGAGAGTTTCTATTAGGTTGAGCACATGTATTCCAAATTTCTGATCTCTTTCCATTCAGTGCACAGTAAATAAGTAAATTAATGAAAATGTTCTAGCTCAAGTAAATTGATCAATTTTTTGGCTACAAATTACTCGCTCATTATCTACAATATTGACAGAAGTGAAAACGCAATCCAAGAAACACACAAGTTGATCTTGGAAAGTTGGCCTTGAGGTGTGCAGCTCGTTGAATAAGCCTCCCGTAATGTCACTGTGCCCAAACCGGATGAAACTTTCAAAAGGTTTTGGCACATAATCAAAGCCGAGAGGCAACCTAAGCGAGAGGCGCGTGAATCCGATGGCTCAGTTGGTGTCTTGTGGAAGTGTGCAAGATGTGAACATAAGTCTAATTTGTTGCATATTCAACGAAATCTCTCCATCAAGACATAAACAGAGGGAGAAAAACGGCCGTATCAAAGTAAGGTTATGGTTGTATTCGATCGCAACAGAGAAGAGTTGCTTGAAACCAATCTGGAGGATAGTCCAGGCTAATCAGCCATTTTTCGCCCACGCTTTCGTTTGGAAAATGATGGTTCAATTTGAAACGCAGCTGGGACAACGTGATATAAAGCCGTTATTGAAAGCCCAACAGAGCAAAGCGCGTATTGATTTTACCAACAAATTCAAATCGCGTCGCCCGCCCATTTGACAATGGGTGGCGGAGTAATTCAGCATATTGTGAAAGCTGATCTACGGAGTTAGCTTTTTAATGAATTTCTTTTTACCAGTCAAAAGAAGCAAATATCTATCCAACCTAACGATTTGAAAGGGAAGTGATTATTGAGCACATTGTTGTTGGTCTGCTGCATATGCCAATATGGACATAGCAAAATGTCTTGCTTGCACTGATAAGGGAAGTTCTTGAAAACTGTCACTCGCAAAATGCATTCGCGGAAGTCATACTTTTTACATATGAAGATTGGTATATCAGCTCGCTTGAGGTTGATGGTAGAAAACGGTTAGACCGAGATAACCATTATTTTTTCACATGCAGTTTCTAGAGAGGTCAAGTTCAATGTTGAGTTCGTTCTATTACCGCGCAGCAGCTGGGATTTTAATTTAATCGAAAACTTTTCCGCCTATGAGAAACCGGGATAAGTTAGCTACCTTGCCATTGGTCGCCAGTGGTAAGGGTGGTATTAGAGGAAACTTGCAAATTTGTTTGGCAGTCAACTTCGTGGATTCCATGCTACAGCGACTGCCTCCAGCGCTCAAAAATGAAGAGCAAATGGAACATGGACGAGATGAAAGTACAATATCTGTATAAAGTCTGAGTCATTTTAATACATAAATCACAGTTACGTTTTCTACTGTCACTTTGTTATCTTACAACCGATGCACCAGAAACCATCGTCAAAATAGCGAAATTCTATATTTCAATGGCATGTAGCTAATGAAAGCAGTGACAGATATGCTGCGTTTGATGTGGGGCAATATTATATTCAATCCCGTGAATGAGGAACACTTGTGCAATAAAAATCAGGATCTTGCACGAGTTTGATCAATACCTATATATATATATATATATATACATGAGAAAACGAAATTTTCACTCCTATAAAGCGAACACTTCCTTCTATTCAGTAAGGGATACCCAATGGTCCACTCGGGACGCTGTTAAGAATTGGCGAGAAACCAAAGAACCATAGCCATTCCGACTAGCATGCAAAACATGGTGAAGCAGTACATACATTCGCATCCCGTCAGCTTCGCTTGTTTTCGATAACAAGAAATATCAGCAAAAACTAACAAGGACGCACAGACGATTTGACGCGAGTGGAAATACTCTTACTCTAAATCTATAGTGATTGTGACTGATAACGGTCGGATGCAATAGTCACAAAACCTCTCAACAGTTATTGAACACATAAACAGCCATTTCGGATGCGCTAAAATACACAGTCTAATCTGATTATTATTCATTAATAGTTGGTTGGTGATATCGGTAACAGTAATCAAGGTTGGAGAGAGGAAATTCTTGACAAATTATAAACGCGTGTGAGTAAATGGGATAAGAGAATTGCTGGTTCCGTTTGCATTAATTGAAAGTGATCCAGATACAAGACAGAAAAAGCTAGTTTGAAACTTGCGTACCATTGGAAACCACATACCAATTTATCTCGCGAAGAACCTCAACACAGACATGCATGTGCTCATTACAATATAGATGTGCACTTGTCATGTACTTATCACCAAGTTAGGTTCCGTACCGCGAGGCTGAACGGGTAAAGGAGAAGCACGGGGCTTCATTTCAAACGACTCATGATGCAAATTTGTATATGGAATGTCGAATTCAATCAAACACCTAACTAGGATTGGCGAGCGCATTGCGTGAGTCACGAATGGAATGAGTTTGTATAACCGTTGGTGCGTAAGCACGTCAATAATATGCTGTTCCCGCCAATCGCTCCACTGCGCTGTCTCTCTGTCACACAACAGCGTTTCCGGCTGAGCGGGTGAGGATGAATCTTGCGAACCGAATTGCGATACAGATAGCAACCTTAACCACCAGATGCTCCCCGCAGTACACAAGTTTCATCGAGAAAGCGCTAGGAGAAACCTCAAAATATTTCACCAAATGCTGACTGGTAGCGCTTCATTTTGATAGACAGATTGATCAAATCCAATAGGCCTTAGAAAAACACGCCATTACCGCAAGAGAAGACCAGCTTCTTTCTTCAATATGAGACCGCTTGAGAATGAAAAATGCAAGAGTATAAGTCTGTATCTAGTAAGAAGGCGCTAAGCATAGAACTACTGAGTTACACGCATCTGTTTGAAGACACATTGGATGGAACGCCAATACCACACGGCGCAACACAATATCTTCCTCGCCCGGGCTTTATTCAGTTCCAGCATGGAAGCTACGCGGCATGATTGATTATTCATAGTAGTGAGTGGAGAGTACTTCATGTATAGTGAGCAATGTCAAAGAATATCATGAAAAATATTACAGATCAGGAAATGTAATTCGAACTAAGGCATTAATCTGGAGGAAAAATTAAAACAACCCAAAAAGTGCACAATCACGATACCTATAAAAACCACAGCAACCCCTTCAAAGAAAATTGCAAAAACACAAGACCGAAAAATCGACGCACCGATGAAGCTGGATTTCAATCCAACATGGAGTCTCTTTGATACTACGACGAGGGTAGTCAGGCCCCCAGCCTTTGACAAAACTCAATCGAAGCATGCATAGACGGCGTAAATCATCTACGCCCACATCGGCTGTGGCTAAATGAGCCAGATGAGCATTAGGCAATGTGCCAGAAGCTGCACTGGACATCGCGCCAGTTTGCGATGGACCGGGTGGAAGCTGGGAAAGTAATGGAGCAAGTTGGGGGCCGGGGACGGTATTTGCTGAGGGCAATGACCCGACAACCACCGCTGCCTGATGCTCCGCGGCAAGTTGGGCTGAATGGGCCAAGAGCTTCATTTGTTCATGGCACTGTCGAATATCAAATACCTGTAAAAACGTGTAAGGTAGTTATAACTCTGATATAATGCTCTAAAAGGAGAATCTGTCGCGGCAATCAGCTTACAAGTTTGAAAATGATTATGCCAAAATCTTCTGTAGCTTCTATATACTTCAAAAGAAAATTTACTGAAGTTTATCCGGATTTATATACAGCACACTTGAAACAAAGCAATCTGTATACCTGATGTTTTCTAGTATCTCATATCTGTTACTTCCCGCCACAAGAGCAAAGTTGGTGGCTGTTTCCGTTATATCAATGTAATGCAACTATGTACCGAAAATAATGGTGGTTAGTTTCTCATTGTATGATCAAACATGAAGTACAATAGAGATAAATTCCAGTATGACAAACAACTGTATGAAATTGGAGTAGTGAGGAGCAACCATAAAAATCAGTTTGTGTACGAACAAATGAAGATGGAAAACGAGAAATAAAGAAGAGGCTATGCATTGCTCGCCGCGGCAACCTATCTGGTGATATGTGTAACACACCCCAACCAACGTAATCTATGGAGGTCGATTACTTGCTCCAGTGGACGATCGCGAATGCCTAACCTCAACATTGCTGATCTGGTTACGCCACCAGACTCGTGCAATGCGATATAGACAGCGGTTTTCGAACACCGATAGTCTATTTTTATCCTGTTCCTTTAGTGGCCAAGTCTGCACCGTAGAGCAGGACTGGCCGAACTGCTGCAGCATACAGTCGACCCTTCACAGACAGCCGGATGTCGCGACGGCGCCACAAATGTTTCAAGTTGACAAATGCCAACCGAGCCTTTTGTATCCGCGCCGACACTTCATCTGTGATGCGTCCACCAGGTGGAATATCGCTGCCCAGATAGCAAAATTTGTCTACTTCCTCTACTACTTCCCCAGTTAGGGTGAGACGCGGTGCTGAGCCAACCCAATCTTGTAGCAACACCTTACACTTTGAAGGTGCAAAACGCATACCGAACATAGCTATCATAGCACTTAAACCATCCAGAAAAGCTTGCAATTTCCCAGATCTTCACTTGGTAGCATAATGTCGCCTGCATACTCTAGATCAGACAGTGCCACCGGGGAGTAAATCGAAGGAGATCAGCTGACCTGTGCCTCAAAACGTTCAAGACGACATTCCCGAATTGGAATCAGTGTGCCGTCAAACTCCTTAATTACCTCACTTATGCATGCTTTCCTTGGTCCTGTACTCCTAATTGAACGAAAAAGATTTGCAACTATTACCGATAGCCGCAGCCTTCTCCATCTCTCTGCACTTCCCTACCCACCATTTCTCGCGGTCATTCTTCAGATGCGGTGGCCTTTAAGGGATTTGCGCGTTTTGTCGTATTTTGAATCCGAAGGAATGGTTCTGCGAGCGTCCAGCAAGGCAACCGAGGTCGGGGAGATCCATCGTTTTTTACTTGATGGTGTGCCAGAATTTGCCGTTGTTTTGACTGACATTTGGATCACTTCCTTGATTGTCGTCCAGTGTTCACTGAGTCCTTCGGCTGATGGTTGAGCTGAGAGGCGATCGAAGAGTCCCTCCAGTGTTCACTGAGTCCTTCGGCTGATGGTTGAGCTGAGAGGCGATCGAAGAGTCCCGCTTCGAAGGCCGATTCGCAACCTTTGCTGACACTGCATTGTGGGCATCCGTTTTCGGTGGCTTTTCTGCGGTTGTGTACAAGGCGAAGGTGGCACCTCGCTTGTAGCAGAACATGATCCGTGTCTACGGGTGTTGATTAGTAGGAGCGGCAGTCTTTAATGGATCCTCTCCAGTGGTGGCGAGTAACGATATGGTCGGTTTGAGTCCAGCGCTGCTAAAAAATTGTCGGTCTCCATGTAAGTCGGTGGCGTTTCTTGTGCGAGAAGTTCGTGCTTGACAGAAACAGTTCGTGGTCAGCACAAAGTTGGAGTAGGCGTTCTCCGTTGTCAGTCCTGTTCGCTGGGATTGCATGAGAACCGCCAAGCAACCTCTCTGATTTGTCCAAGGATCTCACTTGAGCATTGAAGTCTCCACCGACTACCAGAATGTCCAATGACCGCGCACTTTGGAGCAGTTGAGAGAGGTCCTTGTAGAATTCATCCTTCATTTTTGATGAACTGCAATCAGTCGGTGCATACGCGGATACGACGAATAAGCGTCGAGGCTTCGTTCTGTAGCTGTTGACGCGTACTGAACCATCTAGACGTACGGCGCTAAGTCGGCTGTTAACCGGGATCCAGTCAATAAGTGAACACTCGGTCTTGACACTTAGCGCAACCCCAACGTCAGCAACACCACGAGCTTCGGATACCGAATCGCTGGACACAGAGAGTGAAGAGTGAATGGAAGGTTTGTAGGGTTCTAGCTAAGGCGGCTTGTTGACCGATATAGTAGAGTGTGCGGACATTGAGTGCGGTTAAGTGAAAAGGGGATTTTGGTTTCAAAAGTCTGGTAGCCTCTGACTGGTTGAACTTATTAGTTGAAGACTGAGTGATATGCGATGGATATGGCAAACAGGAGGCACCTGGGAAAATTGGGGGCCGAAAAGAAGAACTAGACAGATGGTAAAGATGGTTTTTCAAATGGGTACCTAAGACTTTAGGGCACAGCATACCTCACAGCAGCCCACACCGACGAAGGTATTTTTCTTTTGGAACTCAAATCGGAGCCTTTGACTCAAAAGTCTGACCCAGAAGGCAATGGGGCATAAATCCAACGCGGGAGCGTGAACGGAGCACCCGTGTGGGAGCTTCTAGAGACCTGTCACGCAAGGCGTTTGAATTTCGATTAATTGTGTTGTTCGCTGGTGCGTTGATTGTCGGTCCGCATTTCGGGATCGACCCTCAGCCTCATGCACCCAATGGGAAGCAATAAGAATAAAAATAATAGCAGTACATAATAATAAAAAAAGCAAATAAAGGATACAACATGAAAAATGAAAATGTTTGAAGGTACAAATACAACAAATTAGGCAACGGAGAGTGTCATTAATGAACGCCTTGTATGCATACCACTACGGTAAAATACGGTTCAGCTGACCCGATGCTAACTCATCTGCAACTAAAGCTTCAGAGCCGTCTTCTGGTATAAACAAGTTGGATATTGCATTTAAGCTCTGGAGAGAGGAAAACCAGCATGATCGGACGGGCTTCCTCCCATTATTTTCAAGTTGGGTGTGTATGAGAACCTCGTTAGTTTTGTTACTAATTTGCTGCATAGTATTTTGTATGAGTATATTCTTTCATATTGGAATGAATCGCTGGTCGTTCCCATTTTCAAGAGGGTATCTCGCAATGATGTCATCAGAATGTTAGCCTCTGTCATACTTCGACTTCCGACTCCTTCAAGAGGGAGACCAATATCCGTGAACAGCGAACTGGATTCTGCCCGGTTAGGGATGTCATCATCATTCTCATCATCATCGTTCAGTGAAATAAAATAGTGCATTAACTTGCGAAGCCTACTAATCTGAATTACATGAGCTATCAAGTTTATGCCCGACAAACTCCCCGAAACACGACTCGTTACCTTCGGATCATTAACTCGTCTACTCCATCGATGTGGATGTATTGATCAAATTTTTACGCCACGTCAGGTCCTTGAGCTGCGTCACACCCACCGTCGACCAACGATTAGTACACCTTACCCATCTAACTGAGTTGCAACTCTGTTGTGACCGTGCTGACAGATGGTTTTCATGTGTGGGTTGGAAAACAGCAAATCCTGTCCAGGCGGTCCTTTCCTTCTAGCCGCGCAACCACCCACAGTTTCGTGCAGATTATCCGTTGTTCATTTCTAGCACCGGATTCTGGGAACTCCCGATAGATATAACAATGATATCAATATGATAATAGTATAATAATGGCCCTCAGCTGCAGGAATAACAGCGGAGGAATACAGCAAGATCGCTCCCAAAATAACTCTCTTCATTACATACAAAAAGGTTAACAGTTTAGGCGTCCATAGCACTGTAAAGGAAATATATGGGGAACATTCAGATGCGAACCAGTTTACTGGTGTCGCATTTCTAACTTTCAGTCATCTTTCTCCCAAGAACGGCACACTTAGGAAACACTCCCCCTTTCGGTCTTCCCTCCAACGTACAACATCCTTGTCTGTAAACACAGAATCAACTGTCTGGTTCTAGATTGAATGTTCCCCATACATTCCCACTTACAGTATATCTTCGGATCATGGGGTTTACCCCTTTCACTATATTCACTCGTGTAATAAAAAGAAATATAGAAATGCTGCGTGTTCCACAAAGAGAACTGGTACATAGATATCTGATATCTGAGGACAGAAACTTGTGAAAAATCGCTGGCCAACTGAGCTTGAGGTGAGCGAGAAAAAGACAGGGGGAGGAAAACCGCCTAGCCGAGTTTGGAAGGAATAACCAAAACGGCGACCCTAGCGAAGAGATGGTGAAGCTACCACCGGACAGTGGGAAGGAGATTGCGGAGTTGATGTCATGGACGTCTGGTTGATCGTCCTAATTACCTTGGGTTGAACTCGGTCAAGAAAAGACAGCAAAACATCGATACTCGAGCACGGCGGATTACAGCTTTGGATAAAGGACGCTATTAGAAAGCCGACTTTTCACGCAATGCGAGTGTGGATGTGAATGGAAACCAGCAGATAGCGGAATATCTGGATAAACCTAGGGAGGAGAATTGATGGAGGAACCGGAAGGCGATTTGGAATATTTGGAATATTATGGATCTCATTCAAAAGACTCTGAAAGGAGAGGAGTTTTGGAAGCACTGAATCATATGGATGATAAGGCCCTGAGTGGGGATGAACAGGAGGTCGAAGGCGAGAAAAGTACTAATAACACTGATCGTTGTCGATGTTGACAATGGCCAGGACGGTTCTGAGCGAAAGGAGGAAACTTTGGGGTCATCCATGTGAATCAAACAAGAGCTTGTAAGGAAAGAGAGGGCATCCCTGAAGAAAACCGGCTTCCGTAGTGAACTCAAGCGAAAAAATG